AAATGGACTGAGTTAAGCAGAAAGGAACCAACCCACATTTTGGAAAAAATTGAGTTATGAGTGGTTTTGAACTCAACCACTGCCCTACTATCTATTGCCAAAAATTCAAAGTTTTTGTTGGAGCGAATTTTGCAGAAATTGAACTTGAAGTTTATCTTTTACATTGAGTCTTATGCAGGAGCCAAAGTTTAAGCCTTTTTTTCTCGGTTCGATCCCGATGTGGCTTGGTTCCTTTCTGTTTAACTCCGTCCAAATTATCATTGCGGTAAGGCTCTCATAACTGGATTGCATTTTGCAAAAAGGAACCACTAGCATTGTAATGTTGCTAAGATTGTGCAACTTCTTTTGTCTTGAAGGAATAACCCGATTATCCATTAATAGTTTCTATTTTACTCGCTAAAAATGTGAATTTAAGACAAAATTACAATCTAAATTTCATAGTTTTTCACGATTTCCGCAATTTTATTGCAAAGGATGAAGTTGCACAATCTTAGCATCATTACAATGCTAGTGGTTCCTTTTTGCAAAATGAAATCCAACTGTTGTTGTAGGTTATTTGAAAATTTAAAAAATAAAATTGAAAAAATTAGAACCTGCTAAAAACATTCACGAGCAACCGTTTTGAGGTGTTTGGGCTGCATAGCGAAAGGGGGCATATAGCTCCCTAGTTGCTTAATATAAACAAGCGTAAGTTAGAGTAGATTAGATTAGATTTTAAAACCTGGGGGACAAAGCCCAAAACACGGTAACTCTACGGACTTCAAGTAAGTTTCCGGGACACGAATCGCCGAGACAAGCGTTTGTGATATATTTGCCACTCCAACGCACTCGATGTGCCTATTGTCAGGGCGGTTTCAGACACAGTCAACCACAAGACGATAATTTGACTAGTCCACTGTTCCGCCCCAAACTCAAGCCCCGTCACTTGCCAGCGTTGCGGTGACGATGCCGATAAGAGAGCGTCTCCGCGCTACACCGCAAAAGTGCTCAAAGCCTCTTTGTTTCAACTCCCAGAGGGTAAACTCAGGGAACGCTCCAACATTTTTTCTGACGGTTCTCTGCCTAATTACCTCTCGGAGGACTTGCTTTTTGCGCTTAAAAGTTTTCGCCTTTTTCTCTTAATTTCAGAGTCTGAAAATATTCAGCACTATACACCGGCGCACTTAGGAAAAACGCTGTACAAGTATTTGCACGTTGACACATTTCTTCTGAAAAATTCTGTAATTTCTGGAAACATTAAGGTAGTTTTACAGCCCATAGGAGAATGGTTTGATAGTCGATTGATCACTTGAAATTTTTATATTTTAATTTTTTCAAAAATCGCCGAATGTTTCGGACACAAAATTTTGACAGAGGAACACTGGAATCAACTCAACATGCGTAGGGTTCTATTGAATATCGCAAATTCAAAGGCAACATGATTTGAGCTCTTCAATCAGGATGTACTTTTTAAAGCTATTTCAAAATGTCTCTTGTCTGAATCCTGTGTCTGAATACATAACGCACTCCTTCCGGCTGAAGTATCACACGCGTCTTTTAAGCTGTCATATCATGTTGCCGGACATGTTCATATTGTTTTATTATGACTTTTGTATTTAACTTGTGCACACCCTGGTAAAAATTGGCAGCAGAACCTGTGTTCCAAAATATCATAGATCTGCAGCCGGCTGTAAGGTTTCCAATAGCTTCTATAGCCGACTACACAATTTCTTATAGCCTTTCATAGCCGATGGCAATACGCAAAAGCCAGGCGACAAAGTGTATGCTGAACGTTATAATTACGGATGCTAGGACTCAGTGAGTTTTTGGAATACTGCTCTCCTTTTGGGCCGTAGTATCTTGACTCATTTTGCGAGGAAAGCTCCGTACTTTTGACGGATGCCTGCCATTACTAATATATTAGAGCGCCTTCAGTTTCGTATGATACTGTGCAATACCTCTGGTGTGAAGTAGTTGCTTCAAGCGCCGTGGCACGCTGCGGCGCAGCAGGCGGGCAGCCAGCACGAAACGCGCATTGGCGCCTACAAACCTAACAGGGATACTTCACGCGTTGCGCAATGCGGGAAGTATCCCTGTTAGGTTTGTAGGCGCCAGTGCGTCACTACTCCGTTTTGTGTTAGGCTCTAATATTTAATCCGGCGGAGTCAGCGTTATTCAACTCATGATTTTGAAATGTTTGCACATCCTGTATGGATTATTCTCATTATAATTGATTGAAAAAAAATATGTATTAAAGGAAAATATAATGTGCGTTTTGCAAATACAGTGGATATCGGTTAATACGACATCGGTTAATACGACCTATTGGCTAATACGACGGATTTCGTTTTCCCCGGCGAAACTCCATAAGTTAATACGACAACGGTTAATACGACATATCGGCTAATACGACGAAATCCGGTGACCCCTTGAATGTCGTATTAACCGATATCTACTGTATTAAGGTGGTTCCGTATCAAACTTAATGATTTCCAAAGCACACGAATTTCTACACAATTTCTTATAGCCTTTTTGTAATCGATGGCAAAAAAGTAATAGCCAGGCGATAAAGTGTAAAGCCCGGCGATAGGAACTGTAGCCCGGCTGCATAATTTTTTATCGCTTCGTATAGCCCGGCCTTATGATTTTCTCCGCACTCTACAGCCAGCTATATGATTTTCTGTAGCCTTCTTTAGCCGGCTATAAGAATTCTTACGGTATTTTGAAACGCAGCTCTTATCGCCAATTTTTACCAGGGCATCCTTGAATGACTGCCACGTATATTAATATTTATGACAAGGAATATTAGGTAACATCTATAAATCACTCTGTTCATTACTTTATCTTTATTGCAATTTCTTTTAGAACGATAATAAATAGATACCGCAAAAAAAAGTTTTTCCGTAAACAAATTATCAAATTTGAGAGGTTTGACAACACAGTGCCTAAGTTCAAAAGTAGCTTGTGACACTTTCGTGAGGAGCTGACGATGCGGCCTTCAGGCATTTTAGACAACATGTTCTGGAATATGGAAATTATAAATTGATCGATCGGCTATTTAACTGTTTTTCTGGGTGCTGTAAATCCACTTTGAGAATTTGTCCCTTTCAATAAGTTGTTCTAAAAACCAAAACCTGAAGGAATCAACCGAGATGACTTTCCCCTCTTGTTCGAAAACCTCGAGGGATCACAAATCAGACCAATTAATCAGCTCAACTTCCGTTGGATAAAGTTCTTTTCAATGCCTCGAGGGGGAAATATTTTCGAAAACACCTCGCTTGAAAGTGCCTATCAGTTTAATGCACCCTCGAATTTATCAATGAACCTGTAATATGAAGAGGGCTACACTGCCGTGCTAAGGAAGAACGCCGTATGAACATTCGAGAGTTGCCAAATTTCCTTCGATAAAATGTTTAATTTTGAGGAAAATTATGAATCTTTTCCTTGAGATTTTCAGAAGTTTTATTTGATCAAATCACAAACAAAATTATCTGAGAAATCGGTACACAAATTTAAAAAAAATTGCCAGAAAATTAGTGATTTGTAAGGGGAAATTTGGCAACGCCCGAAGGCCCATACGGCGTTTTTCCTCGGCACGGCAGTATACCCGCATGAACGTAGATCTCATCCCCTCTTGACCTATTTCTCAATTTGGGGGTTCTGCATTACATCGGAGCTTTCCTCAGGTTTACCGCCGGTGTTTGGACACCTCGAAAAGAGGATGGCCCGAAAGAGTAAACCCGACCTCTCATCCCTTCGCCACACAGTGGATCGAGTCAAGTAGATAAGTCGGATGTGGAATTTTTGACCAAAACCGGAAATTTTAATGTTTATTCTAGAGTCCCTTTATACTGAGAGTCAAGACAAAGTGAATCCATTTCTGATTGGTTACCGTATTTTGGGCCTCCACGGTGTCACAAACGGGAATAAAGATTACATTTTCACCAATTGCAAAGATTATAATCTGGAATGGGCCGAGGAATCACGGGTTCGGCAAGGAACAAACAGAATGAGAGAAGGAACGGAGAAAGGAATTTGAGAATGGGCCGATCAAAGATTAATAAAAACGTTCAATTTGTGTAATCTTTATTCCCGTTTGTGACTCTATGAGGGGGTGTTGTCTTGACTCTCAGTATAAAAGGACTCTAACCAAAACCGGAAATTTTGATGTTTATTCCGTCTTGATTTTAAAGTTGTCGAAGAAGTGCTCGTAGAAGAAAATTTCACGAGGAAACGAATGGAACCACTTTTAGAACCTCAGAGTTTCATATAAACTGAGTTATGAGCGTTTAAAGTTTTCAAAATTTGTCCGACCTCTCTATTGCCTCGATCCACCGTGCGCCGGAGGGTTTGTTTTCGGGAGCTCAGCACTCCGACAGGAGTGACGATTTCCCAACTCGTCTCCCGGACACGTTTTCCCGGGACGCGAGGGAGTTTTTGCAAACATTCGAGGAGAACTGCATACACGCGCTGTTGGCGAGCTAACGGTGTCGGATTACAATTCGCACAAACAGTGATTTTGGCGAGGGGGAGACTGCTTCCTGCACATCGCGAAATAGATTTATACAGTATACAATTTCTATAGGATATCAGTGCCGTACCTTTTCAGTAATTTCTCACTTATCTGAATCAGTGAGAACGCAAATACACCAACTCGGAAAAATAAAAGTAATCAAGACACACACAAAACTTCACTGTAGATGAAGAAATTAGTCTAAGAAAAATATTTTTGGTGCCGAAAGACAGGCACTTACGGACTTTTTAAAGGTCCAAAATGGAACAGATGTGCTAACTTCAATGACCTTCATAAAAATTGACCGTCTTTAATGAAAGTTGCGCATTTTCGAGTTATCGAGTTGGTGTGTTTTCGAACTCACTGAATCATTTACGGTAATGTTAATTACAGTTCATCTATGTTCTCTGNGGGGGGGGGGGGGGGGTTCGTCCATCTCATCAAAGGCTAATTTGAGTGGTCGCATTTTTATATATTTTATTTTTTCTAATGTTATACACGGGACTTTATGGTTATAATGTGGCTCTACCGAGTCTACGCCGGGTGCTGGAATGCGTATTGTCAGATTTTAAATGACAAATCCTCGATAAAAACTGAATGACAAAATTTTCGAATATATTTTTAGTATTATGTATAAAAATCAGCCCGATGAAAGTATTTTATAATCGAGGAAAACAAAGCGGTTAAATGATGTCACCCCTGAAGAAAAATAGAGCATTTTTGAAAATACACCATTATTATGCTAAAGCAATTTTCATCAGCCGAGATAATTATTTCATGCTTCACACTTGCAACTTCAATCAGTATCGTTGATGAAAATGTATTGTGAGAAACAAAAAGCATATTCTGGAGCTAGCACAGAATTCGTTCGTCTCCTCGCCACAGTTAATTATATCCATGGACATGCCCTTGAGAAGTCGCACCTGAAATACGTTATTCTATATCAAAATTAATTTTCAATGTTCTGCACCACAACCACACTTACCTAAACATCCACCATTCGGGACTTTTTACAAAATAAAATACAGTCTTTACCAGTGGTTGTAATAAATTTGAAGGATCAAAATCGAGATCGGTGTAAACAATAAATCGAATGAAAGAAAATTTACCTGGAATTGTTGCGATACGATGATCCAGATCTTGATGTTCTGGAACCAGTCTCGTAGCGAGATATTGATAATGGCTTTTGATTTTCTTCTAGTAATCGTGCCATTTTGATGTATAAGTACGTCATAGCCGTCAACGGCAAAACATAACTGCAAAAAATGAAAAAAAGGAAAGAAATCAGTAAATTATCTAAAACTTTTACTTAAAATTTACTACAGGATCGTATTGCCTGCATTTTGCGATAAAGATATACAGTTTCTGACGCATTTTAGAAACAATATATGTGCCACATGGTTTTCCTACGCTGATAGGTAATTTTATGGACGAGTCAGAATATTCGCTCCTTATTGCAAACTATGGTCCATAAAGAAATAAAATCTTGAAGAACCGCACACCCTGCAACTTCAAAGATTGCATTTTGCAGACTTTTATTTACATCACATCGCCGCCTTCCGGCCAAAGTATCACAAGCGCCATGCGACGTTTAAAAATTTCCTCCGCCGTTTTATTTTTCTACAGAGAAATTGTTCAACGAAGCTGTCCAAAAATCATGCTGCCGATAAAATTCAGTGAAATTATCAAACATATTCAACCAACAATTCCTCTGTAAAAAAATATGATGGCGGCGGAAATTTGCAGAAATGTAACTTCTGCACTCACTGGAAAAAAAAACACATTGGATCTAGAGTCCAGACTCTTAAAAACATCGATAAGAAAAAATAATCTTGATTCAATCAGATTCAAGCTTAAATCAAGAACCAAGCCGCTTAATTTGAGCGGAATTTCTTTTGATTTAAGCTTAAATCTGATTGAATCAAGAGTCCTTTTTCTTGTCAATGCTTTCAAGAGTCTAGACTCTAGATCCAAAGTGTTTTTTTTTTTTTTCCAGTGCTATACACCGTCACCTTCCGGCCAAAGTATCACAAGCGCCATGCGACGTTTCAACATTTTTGACACCATTTTATTTTTTTACAGATAAATTTTTGGTTGAGTCTGTTTGAAAACTTCACTGAATTTTATCGGCAGCTCAAAGGAAATTTATTGAAATTTTCGGACACACTAAAAAAAAAAAACACACTGGATCTAGAGTCCAGACTCTTGAAAACATTAACAAGAAAAAATACTCTTGATTCAATCGGATTTTTGCTTGAATCAAAACGAAATCCGCTTAAATTAAGAGGCTTGGTTCTTGATTTAAGCTAGATTCTAATCGAATCAAGAGTACTTTTTCTTGTCGATGTGTTTAAGAGTATGGGCTCTAAATCCAATGTGTTTTTTTCCAGTGCAGCCTCGTTGAACGATTTCTCTGTAGAAATATATAATGGCGGAGGAAATTTTGAAACGTCGAATGGCGCTTGTGATACTTTCGCCGGAAGGTGACTATGCGTGTTTCAACGTCTCGCTTCCGTCTTTGGGACACCCGACAATTTTCTCTCCACGGTGGCGTTCGAAAATCCCTCCGGGTTAAATCTCGCCGCGGACTAAAAGTAGAGCGGAGAGCTCTTTAATCAAATCAAGCTTGTTGGAAAATCTGGAGGCTCTCGTCCCGCCGCCAATCAAAGGTACTTTGTCGTGTCTTGATAGAGTGAGTGGGCCTGAGAAACGAGGAACGACCGCCTACAAGTGTTTGACCTCTCAAATCGATCGGCCGAAAAGTTGCGCCCGGTGCCCTCGTGTCGGAAAAGCATCTCCGGCCGGCCCAGAATCATTATGATACCGAAATTTTGAGGCAGACGGAACGGAAATAACAAGAGGCAAAATGCGGTGGGTAGGTAGCCTACTCGCTTCAAGTACCTCCCACTTGACAGGGAATATTTCCATAAATCGTAATTTCCCATACGTAAGTATGGGACGGAATTTCAAAGCTGCAAAATTTCCTTTCAAATTATCTTTTAACCGTTGAGCGTTTTTAACTTAAAATTTCACCGATTCTCCTTCGAAATACACGCAAAAATCAGCAGACGTTCGAGCAGCTCCTCCTTGACAGGCAGAATATCCATGAATCGTAATATCTCAGACGGAAGAACGTAACAGAATTCCGAAATTGCAAAATGTCCTTTCAAATATTATCTTTACCAGGAAACCGTAGAATGTTTCTAACCGAAAATTTCACTGATTTTCCTTCAAAATACATGCAAAAATCAGCAGACATTCAAGAACCTCCCTCTTGACTATCAAATTTTCCTTGAATCGTAATATCTCAGGCGAAAGAACGTAACAGGATTCCGAAGTTGCAAAATTGTCTATAAAATTATATTTTTACCAGGAAGACGTTCAGCGTTTCTAATTGAGAATTTTACCGATTTTCCTTCAAAATGTACGTAAAAATCAGTAGCATTTTTTAACTAAAAGTTTCATACTCCATAGTCTTGAAAAAAATTGCATCGTTTATGTCAGTTTTACAGCCTAGACATGGAGTTAAGCCTTTACTTCGGAAAACGACAAAATGTGTCGCCCAACTTGTGTCGATTCTAAAGAGACGAATGGTTCCTATCCAATCGAAGGGTTTTTCAATCGGTGTGACTTGCGACTTCGAAGCAATTTATAACCTAGAGACTTATTAAGAATGCTCAATATTTTAGAACGCTCTATTCCGCGCCATTTCAATGAATGAACCTTTTCAATGGATCGCATTCGATAGTGGTTCGATGTATCGTCTGGTTCAAAACAATTTGACATAACCTCAAACAAAAATTCTTGAATTTAAGTTAGGACAGCTGAAAATGAGAAAATTCCTAATAATTTAACTTTTCATTGCCATTTGGCACTCAAAATAATAAAAAAATGTAACACAAAGGACCCGTTCCCTCAGATCTCTAAATTGACTTTTGAGGCTATGTTGAACCAATCGATATCGATACAATTTCACCTGTTTGATGTATCGAATACGATCTATACATTGAGGAATCTCGCTTTAACATCTACTGCATAATACACCGCTTGCAAATTCTTTATTTTACCCTGGTCTAGGGGCTAAAGTTTACTAGTTCTGTTCCGGAGCACAAATTAAACTTTAATGCGGACCGGTATGGTGCGGATGTAAACAAAAGTTCGGTCATAAGTTTTGCTGCTCTCACTAATCTGCACTGAAACAAAGTCAACGGAACTTTTTTGAATTGTAAAGCACTAAGCTTTCTCATTTCAAAATATAACCACGCAATCGTGATCTTGAATTCTAAAGGATTACGTTTGAACTATTTCGCTTTATAAGAGCTGATTCATCCAATAATCGGCGCGGTTCAAAAAATGTTGAGCGACGAAGGGTGGCAGATACATTTTTTTCGCGGAAGTATAAACATTTTGCCACCAGTTTTTCCCTCATATTAGCGTGTGTCTGAATAAAAATTGGACGTTTTAATTCTAAAAGGAACTAAGTGCATAGGTTTTGCGTGCAATATAGTTTATTTTAGCATAAATACGTCCTTGCATGGTTAAGGGAAGTCGTGGGTTCAAGTTTTGTAATTTTGGGAAGAATCCGTTTAAAATTGAAAAATAAAATGAAACTTACGAACTCGAAAGAAATTTAAAACCGAGTACTATAACAAAAAAATGTGTTTTCGTGTTCAAATTTTGAAGTTTATGCTACGATTAGTTGTGCACCGAAGATTATCTCACTTTATTTAGAGGAGTCGCCAAGATCAGAAAACATATTTAAAACAGAACCCTGGTAAAAATTGCCGATAAGAGCTGCGTTTCAGAATACCATTGGAATTCTTATAGCCGACTAAAAAAGGCTACAGAAAATCATATTGCTGGCTGTAGAATGCGGAGAAAATCATACGGCCGGGCTATACGAAGCGATAAAAAATTATGCAGCCGGGCTATAATTCCTATCGCCGGGCTTTACACTTTATCGCCTGGCTGTTGCTTTTTCGCCATCGATTATAAAAGGCTATAAGAAATTGTGTAGAAATTCGTGTGCTTTGGAAATCATTAAGTTTGATACGGAACCACCTTAATATTTACAAAAAACACGTTATATTTTCCTTTAATACATAATTTTTTTCATCAATTAAAATGAGAATAATCCATACAGGATGTGCAAACATTTCAAAATCATGCGTTGAATAACGCTGACTCCGCCAGATTAAATATTAGAGCCTAACACAAAGCGGAGCGGCGACGCGACGCACTGGCGCCTACAAACCTAACAGGGATACTTCACGCATTGCGTAACGCGTGAAGTATCCCTGTTAGGTTTGTAGGCGCCAATGCGTGTTTCGCGCTGGCTGCCCGCCTGCTACGGCGCTTGAAGCAACTATTTCACACCAGAGGTATTGCACAGTATCATACGAAACTGAAGGCGCTCTAATTGTATTGGTAATGACAGGCATCCATCAAAAATACGGAGCTTTCCTCGCAAAATAAACCAAGATACTACGGCCCAAAAAGAGAGCAGTATTCCAAAAACTCACTAAGTTCTAGCATCCGTAATTAGTAACGTTTAGCATACACTTTATCGCCTGGCTGTTGCTTAATCGCCATCGGCTATAAAAGGCTGTTAACTCATCAGCTGATGTATTCCTAACCTAGTATTATTAAATAAAAAGCCTACTTTGCCGTATTATAACCACATTATGTGGAACACTCAATCAAAGAAAGGGACGACTCCTATATTCCACATTCATCTATGAGTTTATTTAATAATACTAGGTTAGGAATACATCAGCTGATGAGTTAACATACTCCCCCCCTTGAGGTTTCCTCAATTGAACACATTACATTAGGACATTAGCATTATGTTAATTATGACATTATTCTGTTATTCATTTAATTATTTTCATTTTTTATAATCAACCAATTTCAAACTTTGATTTATTAGTTCTTGTTTTTCTTCGTCATTAATTGCATAAAATAGTGCATCCTAATTTTTCACTTGGCTGTGATCTTGAAGCCACGTCGCTAGGGTAAACGCCGTATTGATTTTTCTTGTCTGCAGGAACTTGGAAGCACTTTCGAGAGGAGTCAGAAGCACTTCCGTTACGCAATGAGGTTATTTAGGGTCAAATTGAAATTCCATTAAAAAGTAGACAAATTCCAGTTTTCGTAACATCTGTTGACATTTAAATATTTGATGAATTTGGAACGCATCATTTGCTGTGTACTTCTCAATACTTCAAGTAAAATAAGAATTTGAATTGTACTTCGG